GTCGAGCCGGGCCAGGCCGGGCCGGGCTGACAGCGCCCGCCGCTACCGGCCCGCCACATCGGTCGCTCTGCGCTCCGCTCCCCGCCCTGCCCTCGCCGCTCTGCGCTCCACCCGCCGCCCTGCCTGCTGCCCCATCTGCTGCTCCCGCCCCACCTGCTGCTCTGCTCTGCACTCGCCCCCTGTCTGCTGCTGAACTGCCTGCCTGCATTACTGGCTGCTCTGTAACGTGCTACCCGCTGCGTCTGCTCCCTGCCCTGTGCTCCCCACCCCATGTGCCTCTCTGCTTTACACTTGCCGCCCCACCTGCTGCTGTGCTTTCCTCTGACCTGGATCTGCTGTGGACCACATGCAGAAGTGTCTTGTGTCCCTTGAGGCAGCCATGCCCCAAGTTGGCCACTCCTGGTTTAGTGGATATTGTGTTTCAATGTTAAATGTAAGAGCCAAAGTAGAGTTTGTATCCTGGTACCATTTCTGCCTCATCATTGGCCATCCCTCGATTCAAGGACGATCTCTGTCATGGCTCACTGATGGGTCCTTAGGTGATTTAAGAGTCTGATCCTTGAGCCGCAGATCTGTCAGTTTTTGCATTGAATAGTTAAAAGGCTGAGAGGCATTTGGATGTTACCATGGGGTTTTTCCCATTCTCTTGTCTACATCAGGTTTAATTTTGGATTTCCCCTCTCATTTGAAGTGAGAGCTGTAGTATTACTTTCTCTTTCAGAAGGAAGCTCCTCTTGCCTTGTTCTACCTGCATTTGTGTTGATCCTTGAAGAGGAGTTGGGTCTGCACTTTCTGGAGGCCTGTATTTTTGCTAGGTAGAGCTGGGCAAATAAAAGACTACTCAGTTTGGTGGTTGAAGAAGAGGAGTGTTCTCAAATTGAAGCAGAACTTTGTTTTGGCATGAGCAAAACACATGTTCTGTTCCATTTGCAGGCTCTTTAGCTGCTTTGTGCCCCTTTTAAATCATAGGTCACTTCACATATAACAAAATGCCTTTCAAAGCAAACCGCTCTTCTGAAAATGTTTTGACGTTAGAAAAAATCTTCCTTGTTGTGGCTGAAGTAAGTGGATTCAGTGGGATTTTGCAAATAGTTTGGGTTATTTTAAAGCTCTATTTTCTGGCATATTTTTACTGTTCACTGAAAACATTTTGCCAGCCTCTTGCCTTTGTTTGTAAAAACTGCTGTACAGGGATTGTAGAGCACAATCAGCTTGGCAATAGAAGCTCTTTGCTCTTGTAAGTCTTCTGGGTCTTCTCAGGTGGCCTAGTTGCTGTGCTTTGTAGTGCAGGGAGGAGGCACATGCACTACAGTTGCCCTTTGATCTTTTGGCGGGGTATATTGCTTTTAAGTGGGTACTGAAAGGGATGCTTTCATCCTTTGCCTCTGGGACACGCATTCATTTACTGACTGCAGTTGTGTCCCATGTTTGTAAATGCTAGCTTGCCAGCCTCAAATGCTGTCTTGCAGTAACTGTATCTTTACCTAAAAGCTGCTTTATAAGAGTTATGTCCTGCCCACTTGGCATGAAATGGTCTAGAGGCCAGTTGCCACTTTTTTACAATAAATAATCTTAGTCTGTTGTTTTGGTTTGCTTTTCCTTACTAGGTAAGAAGACATGAGTATGAAATTTGCCTTGTACCCTGGACCAGGTCCAGACCATGGGGCTCATTGTAGGCTGTGTCCAGCCTGGGGTATGCAGTGGTAGCAGCTTTGGCTGTGTCTTTAGGTACAGGGAGATAGCCCCATGCCCCCTGCCAGAGCAGCTCAGCTCTGGTTTCTGCTGCCTGGCCTGTGCTGGAGCTGAAGCTGCAGCCATGGTACTTGTCCTGTGATGTAGCAGCAACAGCTACAGTTCTGGCATGGGCAAAGGGGTGATGGTGAGGCTGCTGGCAGAAGTTAGGACTGCAGCAGCAATGACAGGAGAAGTAGCAAGGACTGTATTGGTCTTTGCTCGCCCTTCTGCTGCCAATCCCCATGTCCATCAGGACCCAAGGACCCTCGGTACCAGCTGGGGTGCATGGCATGCTGCAGAAATCTGCCAGTATCCTGATATCCCTGCTTTACCTGAACTTTAATGCTGGTCAGCAGGCTAGAAAGCAGCAGATTCTAGGTTTGGAAGCTTAATGAAGGTCTGGACCTAAAATCTGTCTGGGTCCAGCCTCACCATGCATTTCTGGTCAGGTGACAAGCTGTGCTGAGACTATCCTTCTCCCTTGGGCCAGATAACCAAAGTGACATAGTAAGCAGAAGCCATTCTTGAAGGAAATGTAGATTTAGATGCTCCAGGTGGTTCATGTTCTTCCCCATGGTGCCAGACTGGTCTGGAGGAGGGTGGTACCACAGCAGAAATTCAGCTGGATAAAGAGGTGAAGGTTTAGTTCAAGGTTACCTGCCATTCCAAAAACAAGGCAGAGCTCCACAAATCATCTTCATTCTTCTTTCAAGGAAATTCATCAAGGAAGAGGGTAAAAGCTTAATAAAGAAAGAAAAGGCTCAGTTGACAGACCTTAACATCTTTTATAAGGCTGCAGGCCAAATTTTCCAGATCCGATGCCCCGAGCTAGCTGCTTGCATACGGCTTTAGGAAATCCCTTAATATGTGACCTTTTTTTTTTTTTTTTTTTCAGGAGGGCTGAATACAAACAAATCCCAATAGGTCAGGGAGACCTGCAGATGCCTGGTACTTTTGAAAATCACGCAACGTTTAGTGTAGTGTATTAATTTCTCAGAAAAAGTATTGGAGAAGAGTTTGATAAGATGCAAGACATGCCTTTTATGAATGTAGGCATGTATGTTCTGTTGCTGAGAACAAAGTTAACTTTTGTATTGTGCTGAGATCTGTGAGGGATGTGGAGTGTACTGTGTTACTGTCCCTGTTGCAGTTATGTGGGATGACTCTGTAGGAGACAGAGCCTCAGTGCAATTTGAATAGGTGATGCAGGGGGGTAAGGTGTATTAGGGAGAGAACTTTTAATGGCACTTTTCCTTGCTGTGGAGGGGTTACGTGGGTGTGTATTCTGCTTCAACAACCTGAGCTGTTTTAAATGCACTTTTTGTAATGTCTGGAAATGCATGATAAATTGCAGTGCACCAGAAATTAACCAAGAGCTAATGTTGTGCAAGTGTTTCCTTTTGATACAGCTACTAAACTGTGTTTAAACTGCCAGTTAAGGAAGTGCTGACATCCAGACCAAACTCGGCCCATACGCCTTGCCCACAGACATTAGAACTCTCAAATGCCCATGCATGTGCCCTTAGCACAGTAGTTCTCAATCTTTTTAGACTTGACACCCCTCCAAAACTTTTTAGAAGTTAGGGGCACACCTTTTTAACAAAAAAACAAATATGAATGGTTATATTATCATATATATAAAACATTAATATTCAGCTCTATGGGGCCAAAAGAGGCAGAGTCTGGGGACACCTGGCCAGCAGGGACAAAGTGCTGGACTGCACACAGAACATGTGAGGGGGAGCAGGGGTCTGGTACAAGGCACACAAGACCTGGGAGGGGCCATGGCAGGTCAAACTGTGCCATATGCTTCCTGGAAACCCAGATGGAGAAGAGGCAGGAGCATGTGCTCTTGTTGCAGCCCTTCCTGGTCTGATTCAGTGTGGTGTCTCCCATAAACAGAGGCCCATGGAGCAGATAGAACTGCCCCATGTTCTCTGCAAACTGAGATGTGGCTGCAGCAGAAAGGCATGCTTGCTTGCATTACCTCACGCAGGAAAAGGTGCTACTTCTATTGCAGCCCTGCCCAGTTTGGCTCCTCCTGAAAATGGAGGCATGCAGGGCACAGCATCACCCCGCCATGGAGATCAATGCTGCTACTACTAGGTAGAAGTGCCCCATGCACCTCTGTTTTCCTTCAGCATGTTTGAGTTGAGCTGGAAAGGGTTGCCGCAGAAGTGTCGTGCCTGCCAGAATAATGAAATGCAAGCAGATGTGCCTTGCTGCTGCTGCTGCTTAGTTTGGCTCCAGTGTGGCACTCGAAAACAGAGCTGTTTGGAGCAGTTTCACCCTATGGTGGTGGCAGTGCCAGGGTTGCGGCACCCCTGGCAGGTTCTCTTCTGGCAGCACCCTGATTGAGAACCATGGCTTTATCACTTCCTCTGTCTGGATATATACACTGTATAATCCCTTTTCCAAAATCACCCTCAAATTTAATATTCTAATTTGGATGGTTTCTGGTAATAAATATTGCGTATTTGAGTGTGATCGTTTAGTTCTGTCATTACCTTTTTTTGGTAGGTTTTGTATACTCTTCTGTCTCCATGAGGTATTCCTGTTTGGGATCTGTAGTTAAAGAATTGATGTAGATTCATGAAATGTCTTTTGTCTTTCCTCTGCAGGAAGTCACGGCTAGCAGTCGCCACTATGTTGACAGATTATTTGACCCTGATCCCCAGAAAGTCCTGCAAGGTGTCATGTAAGTCATATGAGCTTGAGGAGTTATCACTAGTAGGCTAGGTTTTCTTGACTCTGAGTTATTTTGCACTTCAAGGGAAAGAAGGAGGTGGTTCGTATTTTTCTAGAGAAATATAGGAAATATTTGGAAAATATTACATGGATTGAATACAAAGGTGACAAGCCTAGTTTAATGCATTTTCTTTTTGTGGTCCATATTTTTGGTAGCCCAGCCACATAACCTTCAAGAACAGGGTTAAACATTATGTGAGCACTTAAAAGACTTTTTCATAAATTTATTGTAGGCACATGCTCCCTGTCTTCTGTGTCTCATGGTACTTTTTTTCCTTATTCAGTCACCACAGTAGATGTTACCTTTCCCTCATAGTACATAAAGGAACAATTGCCGATACTGTACACCAAGAGACCCAAGAGATCCAAAGGTTTCTTTTGGCTTTCTCTTAAACTTAATCCAGGCAAAATCATTTTTTCTTTCTTTTATGCTAGCACCAGTAGTAAGGAGATGTCTTTGATTGAAAATTTCTAAGGAAAAATATGTTTTGAGGCTTTCAAGTCTGTAGGAAGATGGTGCTATGATTAGCTCACTAGCTCTCCCTACTTGGATCTACAAACTGCCTCTCTCCAATAGTAGTTAGCAACATGGCAGATAAAGTTCCAAGCTGCTCAGGAATTACTCTTCTTGTGGCAGAACCTGGCTTTTTCAAAATGGCTGGAGCTTTCTGACTCATTTCTTTTTGATGTTAGCCAAAGTTCCTGAAATATGTCAGAAGAGAGGCAGAAAATGTCTAAGGGGTGGGTCACTTTCCTACTAGTTGTGATCATTTGAGGAGTGTGTGGTCCCTGCCGTACCCCTTTCTCCCCATGTGCTAGAGCAGGGGTCAGCAGCCTATGGCCCAGGTGCCAGATCCAGCTTGCAGAGAGGTCCAACTTGGCATAGTGAGGTGTCAGGGAGCTGCATCAGGCTGTGCTGCCCCTATGCACTACAGAGTTTCACTTCACTGTAGACTATGAAGGACCTGAGCTTGCCGTTGCTGCTGAGGGGCTGTGAATCTGCCAGCCAGTCCCTGTGAGAGTGGATAGGGGTGGAGACTTCCAGCCCACAGCAAGGACTGGTCATAAGATCTGGCCCATGTTGGTAAAGGAAGGTTGCTGACCCTTGTCCCAGAGAGATTCTTGACTCTGACAGATGGCCTCTTGTTTTAGATTCACTAAATGGTCCTTGGAGCACTCTTGGGGTCACTGTGTTCTGCTGTAACTGAAGACGCATCTGACTCCCATCTGATGTCTCAAGTGCTTCTTTAAATAGCCTGTCCAATTGAGATAAAGGGTTCTAGTCCTGCAGTGTAATAGGGAACCAATAGGTTCCCTGCTTCTCTGTTTAGAAAAGTCAGACTCTAGTTTTCCTTTCCTTTCCCATATCTGCTTTCAGGGAAGGCTAAGGTCCATAACCACTGGTGGTCCTGTCCATAGCCCAATGATGGAGCTGGAAGAAAAGGTCCTATCACCTGGGTTTGGACTGTGGACCATATTTTTGACACCTGGCCTGCATCTTCAGCCAAGTACCCCTAGAGTGAGGTAGGTGAGCAGATGAATGGATGTGATTCATTCTCCTTTGAATAATATAGATCCTTGTACCCAGCTTCTGCTAATCCAAGGTCATTTTAGGATGAAAGACAGGAAGAAGGGCAAAAGTGCCTTATCTGACTTAAGAATTCCTGGAAAAGATATTGAGCTTGAAGTGGTCCCGTGGTTGGAAAAAGTCTGTATCAGCAGGGCATCTTGGAAGCTTTACTGAATTTGAACAAGTCTTTTAAGATCTTCCATCCCCAAGACATGGCCATTCTTTCTGTATTACGGCTGAAATTCAAAGAATTGTAGGAAATGAGGGTTGGAAGGGACTTTAGGAGAACGCATCTAGTTCAACCCCCTGCTCAAAGCAGGACCAACCACAACCAGATCATCCCAGCCAAGGCTTAAAACTTCCAAGGATGGAGATTCTACAACCTCTCTGGATACCTGTTCCAGTGCTTTACCTTCCTAGTGAGAGAGTTTTTCCTAATGTCTAACTTCAACTTCCATTGCTGCAACTTGAGACCATTGCTCCTTGTTTTGTCATTGCTGTAACTTGGGTCTTGATTTCAGTTGATGGAATTGTGGCTACCAAGGACTGCATTCTTATTAATTATTAGAATGTTTTGGATTTCTGTCCATTGCCTTTGAACAACTGTAATAGTCTGCAAACTCCTGGTTGTTGCAGCACTCCATCACCTGTTCTCTGCTTCACCTGGATATAAAGACATTGCAAAGGAGTCTAGAAAGATACTTGAAGAAATCCCTTAATTTGGAGTTTTAATTTTTCTTAATAATGTAACATTTTGGGTTATTCTGAAATCCCTCTTTTCTACAAGGCCAGGGTTACAATTTCTGGTAAAGGGTCCTGAGCCTTAGCCAGGTTCACTTGGGTGGGGTGAAACACATCTCTGAACATTATTTGGACCTGAAGATCATGGCCAACAAGTTCATATCCTCCTGTAATTTAAGATGAAACTTTTAAATACAGCTTCCAATAGTATCAGCTGCCAACTCTCTTCCCTTATCTTTTGTTTTTGCACTGGGAGGGCTAGAGAAGTTGGTGGCCTTTCTTCAAGGTAATTGGGTCCTTCTTTCATAGGAACTTTTTTTTTTTCCCTCCTCCCCCCCGAAGCACTTTTCCTTTTGGCTGCTGCTGTTTCAAATGAATATGGTTTTGAAGTAATTTTGGGACAAATGTCTTAAAGAATTCCAAAATTTCAATTCACATCCTTTCTATCATCTCTTCCTCTGCTCCATAAATATTCAGGGCGTGAAAGACTAGTACTTAATGTCTTATTGTTGGGGACCATGATTCAGGTTAAGAGCTTGAGTCTTAACTTTTTCTTATTTGTGATTTTGGCGTGTGTGCGCTTTTTTTTTAATGGTGGAAATGCATACTGCCTTGTGTTAGATCTGCCTCTGACAGTGTGCAAGGGCAACTTCAATATGGGATTTCTGGCTCTTTAACTTTAAAAGAGAACTAAATGTTGAGGGACAATCACCCTAAAAGAATCATACCACTAGCCTTTTCTGTAGTAAAGAATTTTAACTATTTGCAGATGAATCTATACTGCTGAATTAGCATGAACAGAAACTAGACAGGGTGGGCTCCCCACTCCAAACTGTAGGTAGTCCTCCTGCAAACAGTTCTGAGGACTTTCATGTGAACAAACAAGGTGTTTAAAATTATTGAAAGATTATAAAACTTGAGTTGCACGGTAAATTTCTCCAATGTTTCAACTTGGTAACGCAGCATTTTAGCAAGGGAATATAATAGTATCCTTACTCATTTCAAGCAACAACCTTCATTCTCATCCATTCTTTATGCTTCCCTAAAGCTGAGGGCAACCTTGTTTGCTAAGACAAGAGTAAATTTTTATTTCTCTCTTGTTTTAGGTGGGTTGCTTATCAAGGCCTGTTCTTAGAGGTATCTTGTCATACAACGGCGTTCTGGATCTTGTGAATCACAGGTTCACTACCAATTTCCACCAGTTGTGTGACTCTCTCAAAGGCTTGTTTTGCAAAGAAGGTTCTTCCAGATGAATGGATCTTGTAGAAACACTTCTGGAAACTGAAATGTCATCAGCCTACTTTTCAGCAACCACCAAGTGTTGGCCTTTCTGGCTTAACCATTTTTTTTTGTTATGGTAGACTAATATTTTGGTGACACTTGCCCTCTAGAACTTTTTCATTCAGTCACTGGAATTGCAAGAAATATCTCTTGGGTTAGTATTTCCTAAACTTTTGCAAGCCTTGTCCCCTTTTAGCAGGGCTGCAGGATGCTTGCTTCATTTTCCATGTGATGCTGAAGAGGAATTTATTTAAATTAGTCCTTTCTGTGCCTTTGTTCCCCAAAGGATGTCTTTAAGCTTTGAGAAATGTTAGTGTGGATTACAGAAAATACTTTCTATGCTTGCGTATGCTTTGAATATGAAGAATCAACAGTGTTGATATTTAAAGTATAACTGCTGGCACCTTGAGTTAAGATGCACTGAAATGAATGGAGCAGTTTGCATCTTGGAACTATAATTTCAGAAAGTCTGCAAACATCTCTTTGTATTGATTACAGTCAGTATTTGGAAGATGTTTAAACTGAGACCCCAGAGGTTGAGGCATAACTGAATCTCTCTCCTTCTCTAAGCTAGTCTTTTTGGATATAGGGTCATCTCAAATAAAATCGGTTTTCTTTATGGAGAACTTTCTGTCCTTTCATTGACAGAGAAAATTGTGTACTGCCTGCTGGCTTCTGCCGGGTTAGAAAATAGTAGGTACCCACAAGTAACAGGTAAAATTAGGTTTCTTTTCTCTATTTTTTGTTGATAAACTTCTCTCGGGGGGGGTCCCTAGTTAGGACAAATATTTCAGAGGGGAAATGAGGGAGGCAAAAACTGCGTTGAGAGTGATTAGGAGAGACTGAGGGTTAAATTAAAGTAGTGAAAGTTTCAGTATGCTGGGGGAGGAGAGAAGATATAGGGAGAAAAAGAGATGTAATATGGGAAGGAGAGGAAGAAAAAGTGAATGCATTATAAACAAAGCAGAAAATTCTGATCATACAAGAGGAAAAAATGATGCCAAGGTGGGAAGGAAAGGAACAGTATAAGAGTGCACAACAGCCTTCGTTTACAGTGTGGTGACTTGCGCTCTTGGAACGGAGAGAAAGCGTAGGTTCCCAAAGCTAAGTTATGTCTCTTTCATCTAGTCTAGAATGCATTGGGCACATGATGCCAATTAATGTTTGAAGACCTGTAGGTGATTCTTCTTAGTTCATGGAAGCTGCTGGGAGCCTTTGGGGACTGTTACTGAAGCTAATTATTAGATCTACCCTTGGGGATGGTAAGATACTACTTTCACTTCAAGAAACTGTCATGATTCCAAAGTTTTTCAAGTCAGTCTTTTTTTTTTTTTAAAGCTACCAGTTTTAAGTTATACAAATTAGTGTAAAAGATTACATGTTGTTGTTTTTTTTCTTCCTAGGAAGTCAATTCTCACTTTGGTACAGAACAAAATTGTATTTCTATCTTTCATGTTGGCAGCATAGGTTAATAGTCCTATTTACACATGTGCCTTGTTTTACTAAATTAGAGTTTGGAGACTTTTTTTTGGTATAGCTGTATTTTTTTTCAATTTTATTAGACTAAACACAAACTCCTACCATTAAGGTTTATACTAGTTGACAGCAGGATGAGACTTATCCTAAAAGGAAGTTGGAGGAATGATTCTGGGAGGGTCCCTGCTTTATCTGGGGAGGCACCTAGGCTGTTGGCACTTTCTTCCCCCTCCCTCCTCACAGCTGCTCTGGAATTTAGTTAAAAAATATCAAACAGCATTTTTGAATTATTTGCTTTTAAATGTGCTCAAAATATATCCAAACATCAAAAAACATTTTGTACTTTTTAATTAAATGGAAGTAGTAATATATGTAGTTGACAAATTGTGCTGATGACTTTGGTTACCATCTTTTTGCAGTGTTAAGAATTAGTAGGACTCATTCTGTCAAACTTTTTTCATAGATTAGAAAAGGAAAACCAAGCCTTTTCTGCTCTTTCTACTTTGTATCAGTTTGTCTACTTTGAGTGAACTAATACATTGAGCTGGATTAGCTGAATATAATGAAATGGAGGAAAGATTCTTTCGACACCTAGAGAAAAGGCTACTGCTATTGAAAGCTTGTTTAGCACTGCATCTGGTTTGTATGCCAGATGCTTAGCTAGCTACACTTTCCTCTCCACTTCCTAAAGTTGTGGAAGTACCCATTTACTTATTAAAATAATTTTAGTTGAAAAGAGAGAAAATGAAGAGAGAAGGTTGTGCCTTAATATTGGCTGTCATGATTTCAAGTTCAGTTTCACCTATGTTTGTTTTTTCCAAAAAGAAAAGTTCTGAAGTCATTTTTATGCATCATGGCTAAAGGCCAAACTTTGCTCCTAAAACCAACATAGTAAGTAGTATTTGATGTAAGAGCAATTTCTGCTGTGTACCAGGCAAAAGTGAAAGTATACTGTAGGTGATCCACAGGGAGTAGAACAAGCAGGCTCAGGCTCCTAGCTGCTGCACTCAGTTACTTACTATAAGGAAAGATCTTTTCCATCCTGCCCTTCAAAACCAAGGTGCATATCTTACTCCAGGGCATATCGTATGTGAAAAAATACAGTATTTTAAGACTCTGAACATCCCCTCTTGATGCACCAAGCATGTGACACTTCACAGAACCTTTAGGTGGCAGTCTTCCATCTCTAATCTGCTAACTTTGTCCCTTTTTTCTTGACCTTTGCCCCCACCATCTCCTCCTACTTCCATGAGGAGACCACTTTTCCAGAACAGAAGAAATTCCAGCTATTCTACTTATACTTCGTCAATAACCAGGCAGCAGGTTTGACAAATTAATTAAGCCTTGGACCAATTATTGTACATTTTCTTGTTCTCTCTTAACTACTTTTTCCTTTGTAAACTTGATCTAGAAATACCATAAGACTGGTGGGTTTTAAATTGCCAGTGGATATTCT